TGTGTGTGTGTGTGTGTGTGTGTGTGTGTGTGTGTGTGTGTGTGTGTGTGTGTGTGTGTGTGTGTGTGGCTTGTGATGCCGGCATTGCCTTGAGCAACTTGTAATAAACTGTATTTGAAGTGCATCTGACATAACAAGGTACTATAAAGAAATTCAGCGAAAAGAAATCCCGTAGAGTTGTCATCAAAATATTGTTCCTATAACTTCATTTTTGTGCTTTGCACACAGTGAAATCAATACTGTAAGCAGCAAAACTCAGATCAAGGACTTCAGTTTTGTCCCATTTCAAAGGAGAATCCAATAAGGCAAAGCTTGAGTCCCACACTGCTTGGAGCTAATCTTGTGGGCCTTGCTAGACATTCAAGCCACACTGATTCAGAAGAATGACTCACCAGTTTGGTAGAGCACAGACTGCATGCAGACCATGTATTCCCTCAGCTTCTAGTTAACAGGGAATCTATGGCAGCACTGAGGCAGAGCACTGTCATTGAGTTACATAATCAACAGAGGAGTGTAGCAAGAATGTGTGTGAGTGTGCGTGCCCCCATGCATTTGTGTAGCTGCAGTTCCTCTTGAGCTGTCAATCATGTGGTACACACCAAGGCCATTCTCAACACAAGTCTGCTGAGGTGGACTTTCAGCAAGAATGGAGCTTAGCATGTGTGTGTGTGATTCTTTTTTCTTTTCTTTTTTTTAGGCATATGAAATGAAAAACAGGCGACCGCACTTACAAGGATGAGGAGAGAAAGTGATCTACAAACAGGGTATTAGGTGTGCGTGCTGTGAGATGAGCCAATTTAGGCACTGCACATGTTGACTCACAAAGCTACATTTACATATCTTTTGTGCATACCTACACTTATTTATTTCCCGACCAGCGCACGTTTGGATGCATAGGCCTATTTTGTGCTGTTGCATGTTCTGTGTACGCGCCAGACTTGTGTGGATAAGCATCCATGTCTAGTCATGTGAGCTTAGCCACTTACTCTTATTTCATGTCTGTGTGTATATATATGTATGCATGTATGGATTTTAGCCTCTTTTGTGTAAATGAGATTTTTCACTGGTATTAGGCTAAAGAGAGCTTCTCCTGCTCAATGCTGCCATCTGGCTTTAGCTAGCACTACCACAGACATCCGAGGGGAGCTATCTGTGCGAGTCAGCGTGTGGGTTTAACAACTGTTTTGGGATCAGTTGTCCAGTGGGCTGGTGCTAACTCACCCTATTATGAGCAGGATGATAAAGCTGACCTTGAAGCAGTTTATGGGCCTGGAGTAATGGAAACCACTGATAGAGAGCCCATGAAACAGCACTCAGCCCTCAGTGACAAAAAGAAAATAATGGTTTAACCACTTAACATTATTTTGAACGGTATCTAAAAATTTATGAGCAGACATTTCGCATGCTGGTGCTCAAGTGGCAATGATGATTTAAGGGATTCACCAATTCATCCGGGTTCACGGGATTTTGCACGTTAAGAGTGAGGAATTATTATTTTAATAAAATCTAGCTTTTTATATGTTATTACATATAAGAGATCAAGTATATATCACATACTGTATATTGTTGCCATCGCCATCCCCAAATAGTTTTTTGTAGCTTCTCTAAACTCCAAGTGAAGACTTAAATAAAGACCTGCGTAATTAAATAAAATCTCAGTGGGTCAGTGTTATCATATAACATGCAGGTTAATGCTGACACTTGCATAAAGAACTAGTTGAGGTAGAACACAATTAGATAAGATTGAGGTCAAACTATTTGTATGAATCATAGTAAAAGTGCTCATATGTATGTAGGCTTTTACCCCCGCCCCCGACCCCCTCGGGAGCATTGAGCTGACGTTGTCCCATACTCTGATCCATATCTTCTTCTTCCCCTATGTCCTGTTTTCCTAATTCCCTCTCCCCTTTACTCTTCTTCCTTATCCCACTTCCCTTTTTTATCACTACATTTATTCCTTCCATCGCCACCCTTTTTTCACTTTTTTCATTTAGTTTTTTTTACTTTTCTCACCCAGTGTGATCTCACCTTTCCTGCGATCAGTTGTTTACCTAACACTTTTTTGATTCACATACGGTCATGTGAAAATAAAGTTTTCACAGCGATCCATCCAATCGTGTAAAAAAAAAAAAAACTAAGTACACCCTGATGAGTAACTGGCAGAGCCACATTTAGCAGCAATACTTTTGAGTAATTGTTTTCTCCATGAATTTATCAATGTCTCACATCATTGCGGAGACATTGGCCCTCTCTTAATGTCCCGCCAGAGCATTTCAATCAGACCATTGCAACACCTTTCTTTTCTTTTTCAGCCATTATGTTGGAGATTGTTGCTGTGTTTGAAATTATTGTCCCGTTGCATGCCCCATTTTTGGCCAATCTTTAGCTGTTGGATAGATGGCCTCACATTTGACTCTTAAATATTCTGGTATGCAGAGGCATTCGTGGTCGACTCAGTGACTGCAAAGTATCCAAGTCCTGTGTTTTCGGAACAAGGCCACATCATGACCTCTCCACCGACGTGCTTGACAGTTGGTGTGAGGTGTTTGCGCTGACATGCTGTGGTTGGTTTTTGCAAAGCGTTGCACTGTGCATTACCAAACATCTCAACTTCAGTCTTGTCTGTCCAAAGGACATTATTCCAGAAGTCTTGTGGTTTGTTCGGCTGCAGCTTTGCAAACCTTAGCAGTACTGGGCATGTCCTTTATAGAAAGGTAGCCCTTCCAACAGGCCATACTTGTTCATTTTAGCATCATGTTTCTGAGGTCTGTAGAGCCTGAAATGTAGCTCTTGGTGAATAATCTGACCCTGGTTTGAATTTGCTGAGCCAGCAACTCCAGGGAAGATTGTGGCATTTTAGAGGTGCTTATACTTTGTTGGTCAATTGATTAGCAGTTTGTGACTGGGTGTACTTAGTTTTGCACAGGATTGCACAGAGTCCTGTGAAGTCTTGTGAAAACTTTTTTTCACAAGACTGTACTCTCGCTTTTTACTCATTTTTAACTCCCTTTTTTTCCATTCCCCATTTTCTTTATCCCCTCTCGTCCTTTTTCCATATCAACAGCCAGTCTGATAAATAATGCATCACAGCACATTAAAAACATTAGCAGGGTTCTTGGCTGTCAAAGAGAGGGAGGAGACGAGGGAGATGAGGGAATGGGTAACTCAAGTGTTGTGGGGAATGATGTGATTTAATATTAGCAGCTGAAAAGCGCCAGAAAAGGGTGAAGGTCCGAGCATTAATTGTGTTTGCGCCGCGTCCTCGTGTCCTCGTGCTCAAAGTTTTTTGCCTTTTGGGGAATCATCTGAAAGCTTGCAGATTCATAAGGGTGATGACTGTATCAGCAAATTCAAAAGAAAAGATTTTAATGACATTTTGCAAAACACTGATTCTGCATCACACAGAACCTTGACCTTTCCCTTCTCCCTTTCATCCTTCACATTCCCCATCTTCTCCTCTCCTCTCCTTTTTTTCTCCTCTCTTCTGATCTCTTCTCCTTTCCTCTCTCCCTTCCCTTCTATTCCTCCTGGCAGCATGGCGATTGGCATTATTAAAAATTGATTGGTGGCGAGCGTTTAGCAGGGTGGCGAGGCGGAGAGGAAAATTTTGACAGGCAGGAGTGAAATGAAAGGAGGGCCTCGGCGGACACAGTGTGGAAAGGTCTCAGTGGGGGACAGCGTGTGTGTGTGTGTGTGTGCGCGCGCATGCACGCACGCACGCGTGTGTACTGGTGTGTGAGGCTAAAAGAAGACTGTGCAAGAACAATTTGCAATGAGGCTTAGGAGTCTGAAAACCCATGTAAGATAGAGTCTCACTGTACAGTATGTACTGTATGTGTTGGCTGCGCTGTACATGCATATGTATCACATAAAAACACAAAGCCCACACTGATAATATTGTGGTGCCACATCAAACCTCTAGAGACAGACACATTCGCAGTAGCTCTGCTGACCCGGTGTTACCTTTCCTCTATCATCCCCTCTTTCTATCTTTCCCTTCATCCCTCTGCTTATCCCCCTTTCCAACCCTTCTCTCTCCTTTCATCTCAGATCAAATAATATTTCCAACCCATATTCCCAACCAGCTATTCCCCCAATGGCTGTAAGTGCTGCAGCTTTGGAGATTTTCAATACATTTTACCCTCAATTGCGGCTGAGTGATTCTAAAAAAGTTTTTTTTAGGAGGGGGGGGAGGGTGGGGGGGGGAGGTTGGGGCGGGGGGTAAAAGCATGTGCCATTACATGATGCTAACTGGGTTCTTTGTCTCCTGCTTTCTTCTTTCTATGTCACAGATGAACAGACCGATCCAGGTGAAGCCAGCAGACAGTGAGAGTCGAGGAGGTACTGTACGCCCCTCTTTGTTGCCTTTTTTCCCTCCACTTCCATTCTTTGTTCTAGCCCTTCAAGCATGTTGCCTGCGCGTATCAGCCTCACCATTATCTGTCCTATTAAACGATGCCCCGTACCTCGACGCGGGCTGACAGCGCGGCCCAGCCAGACCCTCCAGTTTTCAGAACACATTATGTAAACGGCGCTCTTCCTGGCCAGTGTAGCCTCTAGCTCCTTTCCTTGAGTCTCATCATATGCGCTGATGCATGTACAAACGCGTATGCATACACGGAGATACGCATGACCTGTCATTTTCGAGGGGGAAACAGGTCACTTTGTTTGTCAAACACCAAGACAAACAAAGCAAACCCAATTTGACTAATGTCACAAGCTTGTGTCAGCCAAATGAACTGAAAATGTAAATGACAGGTCTGTGTCAATGAAAGTGAATTCCGGTCTGGTATTTTGTGTGCAGCGCGCCATATTGACAGCTAAGGCCGCTTAAAGCGAATTTTCTATGTCTAGACAAGTAGTGACCTGCTCCTGACATCAATCAATGGACTGTACAAGACAAGATTGATGCAGTCTGACCAATTTTGGCTGAAGTCTTTCAAAGTTTTCAGTTTTTAATATAACAGGCACCAGAGTGATTCTCCAGGCACAAGAAAGATGGAAAGGGTGAGGGGAGGGGAGGGGGGGAGAAGAAATGGAGCATGCAAGGAGTTCGTTGATAAGGTTGATAAGCAGTGGATGTCTACAGACTGAGAGAGGTGTTAGTTTGTACAAAAAAATAAATAAATAAAACTGCAAGGAAACCGCAACTTCCTCTTCTGTTTAGTTTGTTGGTTCTCTGAGAATGATTGATGGAAAGGGGGAGAAAAGAGGCAACACTGAGAATGAGGAAAGTGAAGGCAAGGCAAGACATCCATACTTCTCTGCCTCTTATCTAGTTCCCTACACTGCTGGTTTTCCAGGAAATTTCTTTACTTCTTGATCCCATATTTTCACACAGGAAAGCAAAGCAATATAATATAGTGCCAGAGTGTTAAATTGTACTGGTGGAGGAATAATTCATCTTTCAGTTGCACTTTCTGTTACAGCTCAGCAACAATGTGGTAATAATGGGGTAAAAGGGAAGGAATAAGAAGGTAATAATATGGAGATAGCAAGTTATTACCACTTAAATACCAAATCTATATCCAGTATGGCAGTATCCAGTAGGTATCATCTTTTATCAACAGCGGTTTTAGCTGAGTATGTTTGTGTAATGGGGTAATAAGGGGTCAGAAACTGGTGATGATAATAAAAAAACAAATGTATGCCAAAAAACAAGGCAAAAACAATTATATTGATAACATAATCGTAACCTGTTATCAATAAAATCTTAACATTTGTGCATTTGAATTTTTATATACTGGTTTTAAAGTGTACTGGTGGTACTTTCTAGCCCCTTGTAACCCAGTTACATACATTTCAGTGTGATATTACTCAGCTAAAACCAGTGTTGATACAAGATGTTACAGCACTTGGTGGTGCCGCAGGATGAGAGGCAGGGTATAACCTGGACGGATTGCTGTCACAGGGCTAACACAGTGAGACACCTACAGGCAATTTAGGAATCACCAATTAACTTAAGTACTAGCCAGTGCACCCAGAAAGAACCCACACGGAGAGTACATGCAAGCTTCACACAAAAATCTCGCTCAGATTTCTACCTTCTTGGTGTGAGGCAGCAGTGCACCACTGCACCACCGTACTTACTATTATTTTACCTTTTCAGGGTAAAATAGTAGCAAATACTTCACATCTAAAAAACTGGCATGGATCACCAACTAGGCGCTTCTTATTGTAACAGTGCCAGAAGCCAACAGGTTTCGACCCACTGATTTAATGCTCTGGATTTTAAATGCTTGTCGTAAGTTTAAATGCAAGATTGAAACTTGAAGACTATGGCTTTCTAATAAAATAAAACTAGATGCACTGGAGTAAGTAATACAATATTTCATCTTTAAATTACTTTAACAATAAGATAGCAAAAACTGAAAAATATTAAAGTAAATGAGATTCAAGTACAGCACTTGATTCAATAAGCACGTTGCTTTCCACCACTGTTAACAAATAAGGAGAAGCTACTTTCAGTCATAACTTCTCTGATCGAGCTTCGTGAGAATGAAAACGTGCCACACAGTCAGTTCTGACATTAAGAGACCTTTAACTTGCCAGCTTCCAAGTACAAAGACCGCCTGACGACCAGGTGCACTAATGTGCCTTGATCTTGAAAAAAAACAGCTTTGTCCAATAAATTCACAGCTAGCAAGTGAGTGTCCTATATCCTGCTCTGTGCTTGCTCTAGTCAGACATCTCCCTCACCTAAACCAAACAGTATTTCCAGTACTGAGTCTGCAGATAACGCTGGCCATCTGCTACAGTGCGCTACGTGTGTGAGAAAGGATAACTGGGGACACCTGATTACCCTGACCCTGAGTTCATGTGTGAAAACTGATTTAGTGAAGATGGGTCTGTGATAAAAAAAAGGAGTACTGTTAAGTGTGGCAAAAATCAATAATGAAATTGGAAACTAATACTTTTTATGTATCCTGGTACAACTCGAGCCAACTAAATATTACTGTAGTGGGAGATCGGGGAGAGCCACTGTCATGTACTGTCTGTGTGCGTGAGAGAGAGGGGGGGCTTTACATCGTTATTGAGACTCTGGTGTATATTGATTTGCTCTCTTGCTGAATATGAGTGTGTGTGCGTGTGTGTAAGTCCTTTCACAAAGAAAGATGTAATGTTTATTGGTGGCTTCCCTGGAGAATTGTTGGGCACCATTGAGGTGTGTACTATGAATGTGTATGTGTCTGAGAAGATGTGAGGAGGAGGAGGGTGTGGGGGTGCAAACATTTCAAGATTTGCAAGTGCGTGCCTGTGCATATGTGTGTCCACCTCTGATATGCGCTACACTCTTGTAAACACTCACCATCCCACCCTGCCCCCTCCCCCGGTGCAAGGCCAGAGCGCAGATTAGTCTTGTTGACTTGGCAAGGACACCCTGTCAGGCACAAGCAGCGGGGAACGGACCCTCAACACGCATGCACGCACACACGGGCGCCCGCGGATACCCACACCTAGACACACATTAATTTGCAGAGCACATTCAGAGCCTCAATTGCACTGAGGCTCATTAGTTTCCGAACGTATACATCCCCTTTTTTCCACAAAGCTCAGATTCTTTGCGACGCGGGAACTGATGACAGCCGTGCACATCGACACATCTGCTGCTTTCGCTTCCAGCACACTTTCGCTCTCAGCTTCACAATTCTCCTCGACCACTCATTGAGTGACTCGACTAACGCCGTCATGTGCTGACACTAATGAACTGATGCCGAACCTTGGTCTGTCCATATTTTATTAGAGACCCTGAATGACCGATTTGTATCCGATTATAACGTTCTACAATGTATTTGACAGCCTGTAAGTTTATATGTGAAAAAATTGGCAGTGAAAAAGAAAGAAATTAGGTTTTAATTATGAGTTACTTCACTAAAAAAAAAAGAGTGCTGGCCCTCATTAACATGACACAATAATTTTGAGTAAAATGCAAAATCAAATGTTTTTTAACTCAAATTCAATCAAACTAATCATTGAAAAACATAGTTTAGTATAAACTCAGTGTATACCAATCAAATACATTTAATTTCACCAGTTGCATTAAATTTAATGTTTTGTACCAAAATTACGTGTAAGTTTTACATGTAATCAAGTTACTTCACGTCAGCATTTTGGGCATAAATATGGTGGAGGCTTTTTGCCAAAGAAGAGGCCAGCAGTTAATATATGCAAATGGATTATTGCTACGTGCTCATAAATGAGAATTAGACCCATAAATGCATTAGGTGTTGGCCGTGAGAAATGATAAAGTATTTTTCCTGACGCTTTACCTGCTGTAACCTTATACAGAAAGTAGGTATGCTGTTTCGAAGGTCTTAGCAAAGCTTTTCTTTAGCCATGGGAAAAATATGCGCATAGCCTCCCACATTCATACAGCTGTCTCCTGGATTCAGCATAATCTTTGACTTATGCATATTACTTCCTACTTCTGTATAATAATAATGACAATACATATGTTGTTCTTTGGGGGGGAAGGGGGGAAAAAAAAGGAAAAGTTCACTGGCAAGACTAGGGAACTGACCTTAGTTAAATTTTAATCATGTTCTGACCTGAGGAAAGGCACACCCACACAGCTGCCTTCTCTCATATCTGACACCTGTGACAGGCGCACTTCCTTGCCTATAGGTTGTAATTTTAAATGACTGATTCAATGGGGGGAAAAAATGTCAGACTGATGTGACAAGCAAGACCCATGCATTGTCACACTGTCATTGTGAGTTTCTATCTTGTCGTGCCATTTCATATCTGACAAAAACATCTGATGAAACAGCTACTAGGATGCTGCTTACAGGATGTTGTCTCACCACACATTATGCATTCACATTTATTTACACATAACATTTAATACAAGATGATTATCACTTGGTGGCTTATTTTCTGTAGAATCTGCACAAATAACATTCAACATGGTAGATTTTTCAGATCATTCATATTCTGGTTTGAAAACTACGACATGTTGTGGAATCCTCGGGAGGACCGAGGGACTTGGTGAAATTTCCTTCCACAATGGAACTGAAGAGTATGACTCCTGGTGGATGGGGTGCAGGAGGCAGTCATAAATAAATGAACAAAACCATTTAATTTGCCACAAATACCTCGCTCTAGAAGAGACCACTGTTGCTTCACAGTAGAAAGCAGTGACTGCTCAGGATCCTGAGTGGTGCTTCGTATTGCTTTCTTTTATTTCCATGTCATATGGATGTCTCAGCAGTGCTGGTTTGCCTTTGTGAGACATTGCTACAGCATAGAAATCATTCAAAAACTAACCAAAAACCAACAAAAATAAAACAAGACTAGCTGAAATGATTTTCTGAACTTGCGTCGGACCCTCTTTACTAAGCATTTATGCATGAAAACATCTTTGCTTTTATTTTCCAATTCTTCCCCCTGACAAATACCGTCTGTATGAAAATAATTAACAAAGACTACAACTAATGAACACTAAACTAAAGCAAAGCCATTCTGGAAACCAAGTGAAACTAAACCGAATTGAAAACAAAAACAAGTAATGAGAAAACACAAAACCATAAAAGCTCTGCAACCAGCCTCCGTGATGATCTGCTGTACGCCCGTTGCTCGTTACAAGTCCCCATCATCTCTTAATACTGGTGGCCTGGGCAGTGTGAGAGGAAGCATAAGCTGGACTAGCTGGCCAGCTCGCTTGGTAACTCCTGTTAATCTTCTCTCAACTGTCACTCTGCCAGAGTTATGTTTACAGTTTCATTCCCTGACTGTTTTTCCTGCTGAATGAAATTTTAAAAAACCCACCAAATCTCTGGGCAGCACTATTTCTTCTCACGCTTGAGTGAGGGAATTGCTGCTACACTGACTCACTATCCCTTCTTGAGGTACAAAGTGGTATTATATGAAAGTAACTTTAGTCAAATATCTCATCATCGCAACATAAGGGATGTTAAAGATGAAGCTGCCAGGCAGGAGGAAAAGAGGAAGACCTCAGATGAGGTTCATAGATATGGTGAAGGAGGATGTGAAGTGGGTTGGTGTGGCACAGGAGGATGCTAGGGATAGGATGAGATGGAGGTAGGAAGGAAGGAACAGCCAAAAGAAGAAGATAATCTCTCTACAAAGACATCTTCTACATAACATCATAGCTATTAATACTCCATATTCTGTTTAGTGTTATTTGCACTACCTGTTTTTGTCAAGGAAGTGCAAAGCAAGATGAAACAGATGAAGTCCAGAAATATAAAAAAAGATACAGAGCAGAAAATAGCTTATTTTCTCAGTATAAATGTAGGGAAAATATTACCTAGCAACAGCGTTCATAAAACTTGGAGAACATCTTTCCTTGGCATCTTTTATGACCTGGCTCATAAGCTCCAACATAAATCGGAGATTGACTCCACACTGCTTTTTTTTTCTTTTTTAGAAACATGGGCTTTATTTTAATTTACTAAATATTTTTAGATAAAAACGACACCAACACCCAAGAGAGAGCATGACAGTGTCTGGTCTCCCTGCCACACCTTGTCAGGTATAGACAATTAGCAATTAAATCCAGGGCAACAGAAACTTTCGCGCTACCGCTGCATAAGGAGTTGAGGTTGCAGAGGGGGCGTGACACGTGAAACCAGCAGCATAGCTAACTTATACAGTGGCAAACATTTACCACAGACACTGCATGTGTCACGCAAGCTGCACTGAATGTGATGAGAGAGAACATTGTTGTTAGCATCAGACATACTGTGCCATGGGGTAGTCATATTCCCAAAGGACAGAGACTCCACAGAAAAGGGCTTCCTTGCCTTGATTATGGTGCCCTGCAAATATGCAATGGGCAGCTGGTTAAACAGTAAACAGTATTAATACATTTTAAAGTGAATATGCAGAAACAGCTGTGCACCTCAAATAGACTGCATACTAAATAATAACATAATACACCAACCAGCTAGTCCATTTAAAATGCACATTACAGACTTTCAGCTCAGGAACAGCATTGAATTAGAAATACACTAGGACTGCAGCATTAGATTACATTACATAATTATTTTTTCTAGCATTATGAACTTTTTGTGAACTGTTATTCTACTATAACTTTCTCTTTTTGGCGTGTAGCTTCAACTCAGTTGTTTTTAACACAAATAAAGTTGAATTTCTAATGAAACTTAATCAAGCAGATTTTCAAGTTTGACTATATCACAAAACAAAACTGCATCTGATATTTGACCTGGTGCTTGTGTATCTAAGGCTTAGCAAAAATGCCTCCGTCTAAGCGACACAGCACGTCTCTTTGTAGAATACCAAAAAGCATCTCCTGATCTCCTGATCTCCTGATCGTGACCTATTCCTTTTTCCTTTTAGAAGACAGAAAGCTTTTTGTGGGCATGCTCAACAAGCAACAGTCAGAAGATGATGTGCGGCGCCTTTTCGAGTCCTTCGGCAGCATCGAGGAATGCACCATCCTCAGAGGTCCCGACGGAAACAGCAAAGGTGAGTTTATAGCTGTTTATGACTTTGAGCCGGCAGACTTTTTTCACAGGCTACTGCACAGAAATGATTTGGCCTTTCAAAGTTGGTGACTTTGCAAAGTTCTTCTTAAAACACTCTGCGCTGAGTGATGTCAAAGCGGGCTATTTCACAATCATCAGAGGAGTCGTTACATAAGAATACCGGAGATTCAGTAAATTTCAACAGTAAATGCCATTTGAAAGCTTTCGCCCAAAGGGACGAGAGATACAAACCAGCAGCTCTTTACAGATGAACCCCATTAACCTCGTGAGTCAACCTACAAGGCTCTGATAAAGAAAAAAAAAATAAGTCACCCTCCTTATTAACCGTCGGGCTTCATGTCATGCCAGAAAAATGCCCCTTTTTAAATGTTGTCAGAGTGCTACACAAGTTCACCGCATGAAGTTCATCAGTGGGCTTAGCAGCTAATCAATGAAACTCGATGATAACTAAGCCTGATGATTACAGTGGGCTTGATCATTCTGATTCCTCCGTGAAGCTCCATTAACAAGGCTTCATCAGCCAGCTTACTCAGCTAAGTGGGCTTTAGCTCAATAATTACTGAGAACTTGATCACTCAAATTTATCAACGGCGCTTGTCAATAGTAAGCGACACCAAAACGCTGTAGCATTTTGAGCGCTATCTGAGGATCCTCGAAGTCGTTAATGACGCCAGATTGGCACATTTAGTCTGCTGAGCTTCGATCAACATTGATGTAGCAATCCGTAGCAAAGGAGGCTTTCTTCACTAAATATTTGTTACTGTAGAAAATTTATCCCAGGTGGGAAAAAAAGGAGGGGGGGGGACTGTCTGCTTGTTGTATTGTTACTATAAATGCTTTGTTGTGATACTGTATGATATACTTCTCAGGAAACTTTTTTTTCCCTTTGTTCTCGCGATCTCATTATCCCCTTACTCAGGTTCTCCTCTCTCTCGTTCTCTTTAAGGCTGTGCGTTTGTAAAATACTCCTCTCATGCTGAAGCTCAGGCAGCCATCGGTGCACTACACGGGAGCCAGACAATGCCTGTGAGTAACTGCGTGCGTGCATGTAGGTGTGTGAGAGAGGTGAGTCACACAGAGAGATGACTCAAATACTGCTTATATTCCTTATAAATTTAACTCGGGCTGTAGTTTATCAGTCCCAGTGAGGAAATTTGTCCTTAGGGCTATTCGATCTTTCCATCTCAGTTGAGCCATTTTTTACACTTTTTTTTTCCTGGGTTGAAAGATGAATCTATGAATCTATGTCATGAGATTTCTCAAATATTATACCCATAGAGGAAATATTTTTCAAGTTACAGCGTCCTCTAAAGAAGAGGTGATCATATGCACAATATTTGCTTAAATTATAGTCAGTGGATTAGGACTACTGGGAAATGTTGTATACCTATAATTTTGGTAGGCACAGTTGTTATTTTTGTTTTTTGCAGCAGTTTTTATCTGTCATCCTGTTCTGCTGTTTAAAAAGAAATAGCTGCTAAAAACTGCTCCAACATTCACATATTTAAAAACAAGTTCAGCCTGGGACAGATGTAGTTACATTTTTCACTAAATTTACAAAGGCAGCACATTTAAATAATTATCAATTGCTTTGAACTTTGAAGAAACTGCTGATCTGCTGGGATTTTCCAGCACAATCATCTCTAGAGTTTAAAGAGAATGGTCTGGAAAAAGGGAAAATATCCAGTACTGATGTCAGAGGTCAAGGGAAAATGGCCAGAGTGCTACGAGCTGAAAAGGCAACAGTAACTCAAATAAGAGAGCATCTCTGAATGCAGAACATGTTGAACCGCAAAGCAGGTGGGTCTACAGCAGCAGCAGAAGACCACACCAGGTGCCACCCCTGTCAGCTAAGAATAGAAAACTGAGGCTATAAATCACACAGGCTCAATTTCTCGGGACGCTCTGGGTCCCTTAGTACAAACTGTGCATTGTTTAAATGCCAGAGCCCTCTTGAGTATTGTTACTGAGCGTATCCATCCCCTGATGTCGACAGTGTACACATCCTCTGGTCAGTTCGCTACCTTGAACCTCCAGTGCAAGCAAAATAAACAAACTAAGGCATGTAGCCCTCGAATAAACCATTTGGATCTTATTAGCATCTGAAATCTTAAACATTCTTCATGGATACGGTGCATTTATATGGGTAATTTGCATATGTGGCGTTTCGTACACTAGGAAGATATTTTACATTGCAGCTTACTGTGCTGCATTACATCAGCTACAATAGTACCTACAACCTGCAATGGGCTGGCAGTAAAAGTTTGAAGAGTGGCTCATTAAAGGAGTCCAACAGGCATTTCTGAATTTATCTGAAGCACCAATTACATTTTCACATTGTTCATATTTTATTCATTGTACCTGTTATATCTCTATAGCTTACAGTGCAATGAGAGTGAGCTCACATTGCCTACCACTGATGAAAACGTTTGTTTGATTGGACAGTCAAAACTAAGAGCTATGAAAAAGAATTTGTTTACATGAGCCAAATTCAGAGTGCATAGCGATGTGTTCACCTGCACATGTACATGTATGTATTTAGTACTGGTAATATTTTTTTACAGGTTTCAGGGGAAAATAGTCAAGATCTGTCTTGATGTTTTGCTTTTTTGTTGTTTTGTGTTTGTTGCTGTATCTGACAAAAATCCCATAGAATACTCCCAAATCTGGCAGATTCCACACAAATTATCCAGCTGTTCCCGCAAGCACAATGGTGGAGATAAAGTATTGCTGAGCAGCTTTGTGAAACCACTCAACTTGTGAGTTATGATTTAGGCAAAAAAGTACAATTTTGCCCTTCTGTAAAAGTGGCACTTTTTTCATAAATATTTAAATTGCTCTAATAATTGGAATATATTCATAACGGAAGCCTTGCAACAGAAAATTATGAAAATGTAAAAAAATTACATGAGAATGTAAGGTTGACTTAACATGGAATGTCCCTTATATATATTAGATATAACCCATCAGGACTTTTTGGGGAAAATGGGCACCAGTTAAAGCTCTGGGGGCCATTGCCTTGGCCAGAGATTTAAAACAGTATGTGTGTATGTGTGCTAATGCAAGCTTATGTCAGACGTCTATCGAACCACATTAACATGTACTTCCTGGCGTGTGTGTGTGTGTGTGTGTGTGTGTATGTGTGTGGGTGGATGGGTGGGTGCACAGGGGGCCTCATCCAGTCTGGTGGTAAAGTTCGCCGACACGGATAAGGAGCGCACCATACGCCGCATGCAGCAGATGGCTGGTCAGATGGGCATCTTCAACCCTATGGCCCTGCAGTTTGGAGCCTATGGAGCCTACGCTCAGGCAAGATGCCCCACAGAACTCCTTTTTTTATCCACAGTTATTTATTCAGTGAGCCACAGAGATTAAACAGAGCGCTCGAGCTTAGCTCAAATTTAAATCTGAAAAGGCAAAAGAAGAAGCAAAAGTCATCAAGTCAAATGTTAATTTAAAAAAAATCACAATTAAAGGATAGATGTTCTATAAAGTTTAATACATGGTTTTCACCTCCTAATATGCTGTTTCCCATCTCTGTAGCAGCATTTCTGCTATAGCTCTACTTCTTATGCTGTTTTTGTCTTGCTTTGCTTAGCTCAGAATCACAGGTCTTTACTTTTATTACTTTCTGCTTTCCCTTCTTCTTCACCACCTGAAGGTGCAGCAGCAAGCAGCACTGATGGCATCTGTAGGCCAAGGAGGCTACCTCAGTCCAATGGCAGCCTTTGCTGCTGCCCAGATGCAGCACATGGCCACCATCAATGGCCTCCCCGGAGCACCGCTGACTCCCACGTCAGGTAACTGGTTAAAGTCAATTGTTAAAGTACCTATCAGAGTTTTTTCAGAAAGTGCATCTACCACAGTGCATGCATTGTGGATTATACTTCTATACATAAATATACATGAGCACAAGCTAGCATTAATGTTCCAGAGGGGAGCTGACAGCAGACAATCTGGTGTCACTGGAAGCCAAGAACCCAAATCTGAAACCCTAAACCTTCCATCTGTGCACATGAGACTTTTGACTTTTATGAGCACTCAGTGCTACTGAGTGCTCATAAAAGTCTTTACAGGTCATAAAGGTCATCTTAAGGTTAAGTACATACAACATATAATAAATCAATAAAATTGAATAACCATATCCATCAAAGAAATACATCAGGTTGATTCTTTAGTCTAAACACCTGGTTACTGTGGTTACAGATTTACTCAAACACTAAAACTGGCTCAGGGGGTTGGGAAGCGCATCTGCAACCGGAAGGTCGCTGGTTCGATCCCTGGGTTCTCTGTCCTGGTCGTTGTGTCCTTGGGCAAGACACTTTACCCTACTGGTGTTGGCCAGTGGGGCCGATGGCGCGATATGGCTTTCCTTGAAAAGCGCTATATGAATGCAATCCATAAATTGGCTGACTGAAGTGTTAACATGGCCCTACAACATAATATATCTGCACTGCATGACACAACAGTCTGGATAAAAGGATTTTTTTTTGTTTATTCACTTCCATCATGCCGTCTAAAGCGAAGACATTAAAATAAGATGTGGAAAATCGAATATAAGTATGAGATCCTTTTGAAAACAGCAGCACCAGCTGTTTAATAAAGTGTAATATTAATGACTAAAAATAGTTTATTCTTTTAAGACCCGACTCTAAGACTGCAGTGGAAATAAGATACAGCCGAAAGGAAGAAAATGCATGTTTCTGGATACACCCAAGGAATGTAAAAGAAGATCATTCTGGGAACACATAATTAGCAATCATTTGATATCAACACAGTATTCACTAGTCTCAGAAAATACGTCTGAGGGTCACATCTAATGGCTGTTGTTTCACTGTAAGGGCCATACTTGGACAAGAAATCAGCCCTGACATTTAGTGTCTTCACCGGCCCACTGGACCGGCCCTCCTGACATTTGCAAGAGTTACTAGGTGGCCAGTCAAAGTAAAACTTTTCCATAATGTCCTCGGGGTGGAAAAATTGCATTGTTTCTCTCTGTCTCTGTCTGTCTGCCCCATGGCTGCAGGTGGCAGTACTCCACCAGGCATCAGCGCCCCCACAGTGACCAGCATCCCATCTCCAATTAGTGTAAATGGTTTTACTGGCATGCCGCCCCCGCAGGCAAATGGACAGCCCCCCGCAGAAGCAGTTTTTACCAACGGGATACACCATTATCCTGGTAAATATGATCATCTCAGAGACAAACGCACACACACACACACACACACACAAAAATTCAAATGTTAAAGTATGATTTTTTTTCAATGTAGACACATGTCCACTGTAAAGCAGCCATCAACAGGAAAAGCGTGCATGATGTTGGCTTACACACTAGGATAGCCTTTAAGCATGTTCATGGGGGGTGAGGCCAGACGAATGTAGTCCACAGAAAGCAAGCAAGTTGAGGCGATTATCGTTTGGCAAAGGCGTTCGGGCTGCCGGAGTCTAACTATGCGCTTGTGTCATGAGCCGTGGTTAGTACCTTATTGGATGTGTTTGGTTGTCTTGTCTCCCCAGTGTTGCAGGAGGTGGTTTTTAGAGAGGACTCAGAGAAAAACGGCTTGGGCGTGGCTCCGCGGAGTTGTTTTGGGGTTCAGGGTGGCTGCTTCCTCTCATCTCTCTCCGAAGGTAGCGCTCTTTCCCTCCCACCCTCATCCCTCATCCCTTTTCTTTCTGAGCTCAGGAACAGGAAGATATCATTTCAAAGCCATTGGGACCAAACATTCTTTCTTTTTACATTTAAAACATTTTAAAAAGAAGGAAAGAAAGAGGGAAAATTCAAGTTTGTGAGTGAACAGTAAAGATTTATATTGCTTCAAATATCTGAAATATTTTCTGCTCTGTAATATGCTCTGAAAAAGACTCTGACTTCGTGTTTCCAGACACTGTCATAAAGAAAAGTTCTTTGCAGTGTATACAAATACAAATCATCTTGTTAGAATAAACCTATCCCTGTGGCTGCTACATTCACAAACTTGCAATTCCCCTGGCAAAATGTATCACAGTGTTACAAAGGATGATAATAACACAGACAGCTGAATTATTTTTGAACAGGATTTCACCTGTTTTTTTTTTTTTTAAAGGTTCTTTGAGCCCATAACTCTTCTTCTTCTTTTCTTCTGGCTATCTGTTGCTGTTTTTCCAGTGTTACTGTTAGTCCACAGCGTGCTCGGTGTTACTTTGGTTTTAAAGGATACTGGCGTTATCAGTGTGTACATGTTTATCAGTGTGTGTGTGTGTGTGTATATGTGTGTGTGTGTGTTCTCAGTGGTGTATTTATTGTGCATGCGTTGTACGCACGGGTGTGTAGCATTAAGGTGCGGCACAGTGCCGGCGGTAGTTCAGATGCAGGGAGAGTTTGCTGTAGATCTGTGAACATGTGAAGTGAAAGCAGCAGGCGTATCCACTGTTACGTGCGTTGTGCTCGTCCTGTTGTTGTACATGTGAAAAATAAATGTGTTTCTTCTTTTTTTTTTAGGTTTTCTGTGATAGGCACAAGTTTAGGTACATTTTTTTCTTTGTTGTGGTGACAGTGGAGCCATGTGTTGTTTTCTTTTTTGTTTTGTGTGTGTGTGTTTTGGTCTTAACTGTGGTTTATCAAAGTTTTGCTTTCCTGCTTTTCTTAAAAAAAGAAGAAGAAGAAAACTTTTGAAATGCTTTGGGGGAAACTTTTAAGTATAAGGGTCTGGAAAAAGAGAAGGGAGAGGTTCAGAATTCAGTTCCTCACACACCGAAGTGAAGTGAGTTGACTCCACGCTGTTCGGCTCGCTAACCTTTCTGCTTTTTCTTCTCTCCATCGCTCTCCTCCTTCTCATCCCTGCTATATATTACTCTCTCCTTCCTCCGTGCCCTCTCCTCCATCTACATTCTCCCTCTGTCTCGCTCCCCCTACACACACACCTCCATCCATCTGTGCTCCCCCACCACCACCACCACCTCCTCCTCCTCTTTTTTCTTCTCTTCTCTGTGTCTCTGTTGAAGCAGCTCAAAGTCCCACTGCAGCTGATCCTCTCCAGCAGGCTTACACAGGAGTCCAGCAGTATGCAGGTCTGTCTGTCACTCTCACTGCACCAATGATATGTGTGTCTGCATATGTATGCGTGTGTGTGTGTGTGTGTGTGTGTGTGTGTGTGTGTGTGTGTGCAGTAGGAAGGGAGGCCAGACTACGGAAAACAGGACAAGGATAAGCATACCTGTGTTCGAAATTAGAATTTTGATATTGTAACATTAAGTGTTTCAGTCTCACTCCATCAGTTTGTTCTCTGCACCGCGTCGGGTGTGCAACATGTTAGACTCTATTGTGCGCTATCTGATCGATTGCCTGCTGTGCCCCTGCATATATCACATTGTTTATATGTATACAAGTGTGCGCTCTAGTCATGACTGTTATCTGATCCGCGGTGTGTGTTTGTGTGTGTCAGCAGCCTACCCCGCTGCATACGGCCAGATCAGCCAAGCCTTCCCCCACCCTCCACCTATCATCCCACAGCAGCAGCGAGAAGGTAACGCTCACGCACGGCACGCTCCTGAAATACTCATACACGCTGGCGGGGTGATTTGAAATGTTGCCAGTCAGTTTTTACAAAAAGTACAAATATTCAGCAGTGTTTTGGGGTGTTTTTGTTTACCTGATACAAAACAGCTTTTTTATTATTGGTGCTTTTTGGTTTGGTAATATAAAAAAAACAGAGGACAGAGTTGAGAATGAGTCAAAGAAAAAGAAAAAGAAGAATATTACTGAGCATCTCAAACTCAGCTGTAAGCCTTCTCATGAACCGAATGACCGCCAAGCTCAACACCCATGCCTGGGACCTTACTGCCCTCTTGTGGAAGTTAAGATAAAAATTGGAGATGATTTCACAGCTGTGGCAACCCAGAGGCCATATTTTAAGCATTTGGGAGTCATATAGTAAGGGGTGCCATAAAATTATCAGTATGAAGGTTGTTAGTTTTCATGATACTTAACATTCAGCAATCACCTGACAACTTAAGGTTACCATTCAACTGTGACTGAAGCCTTGGAGAAAACTGCTCTACACTTTTTATGGGTTTTATTCGTGTTTCATTTTTGCAACTCTGGAACCTTAAAACTAGGCAAATATTAAGAAACACATTTAAGGAAAAAAATGTAAATGTGAAACTGGGCATAAAGATGGTCTGATGCAGAAAACTGGAACATTTATTTTGTGTTTTTCACTCTGATGCATTTTAAATTCTAGTTTAGTCAAAACAACAATCCAAACATGCGAGATTAACTACCACATAGGACCGACACAGCTAGAAAACAAAGAAAACTGATGAAATTATGCAATCAAATGTTGAAATGTTCATCTTGATTGGTTTCTGTGAGAGCCTATGTTAAAAAAAATGTAGCTCTTTTCTAAAATAACCAACATTATTCTATTTTTGGCAGAAAATTGAGTTTATACATCATTTATAAGAAGCTGTCAGAGGCAACTGACTTTCACTGCCTTTTAGCCCACTTTGACTAACAATGTGCTCTTCTACCCTCTTTATCTTTTACTTTACACTTTAAATAATTTCTTACTGTCATCACAGAGTTTTCTCCTCTCGTGGTCTGCCTTTCCCATTCTTACTCCCCGTCTCTTTCCTTGACCCTTTTCTCTGACCTTTGCCTTCTTATCTCTCTCTCTCTCCCTCCCCCTCTCTTCTCTCGCCTTTCTCCGTTTCTTTCCACGCAGGACCGGAAGGCTGCAACCTGTTCATCTACCACCTCCCTCAGGAGTTTGGAGATGGAGAGCTGATGCAGATGTTCCTGCCATTCGGTAATGTCATCTCCTCCAAAGTGTTTGTGGATCGGGCGACAAACCAAAGTAAATGCTTTGGTGGGTAAAAATGAACAAAACCAAACGATTATTGGTTATTTATTCCTGATTATTTTTTTTTTTTTCCTAATCACCCTTTTTTTGCACTGCAGTCAATACTCCCTTCCCACCCCCACGCCTTCCCTACCCCCAAACCTCTCGACACCTCTCCCTTTAAAAAGATGAACAAAAGAGCAGATCGTTTCTCTGCAGGTGTGCTGTTACTAATAAGAAAGAGTGGATACTTTGGATATTTTGTTTTCCTTTTCCAAGCATTACAGACAGCTGAGATCTGAGAACTCAGCGGCCCGTTTTATCTTTCGATTACGACTGTGCTCTTCGTGACATTTTGTATAATACAAACGTGGGTTTTTCAGTCGCATGCCCCTGACTATAGCTTCCTTTCAGCTAAAAACAAAAAAAAGGGATGCATGCCAAGAACGTAACTTCAGAATCCCACAGTCAGTCTGCCGTGCAAAGACAGAAAAGTGCCATCTCACGTCATGCTGCTGACAGTGCAGCGTAGTCGAACGCATAATTATGTGGCAAATTATAAATGGATTGTGGAGAATGTTTTATGGAGAGTCCATCAGGTGCAACCCATTTGCAAATTAGCTTTCGCTCACTAATACGCTGCATTAATGTATTTCCTCAATTCATGTTGGCGTTTTTGTGATGCGGGTTTTAATTTGTTATTTGATGCTTTTTCCCCCCCACATCACAGTGGAAGTTAAAAAGCAAAACTGAAATGTTGCAGTACCATATTGATGTTTTAGTTATAAAACCCCATTATCCTGTAATCCTGTTGTTGTTGTTGTCATACTATTACACATCTGTGTGATGTTAGTTTAATGTGCTTTTTTTTTTTAATAATCACACTATATTAGATTTACGCTTACAACTAGTTGTTTCATGAATGGTAACTGTTTTTTAGTTTTATGTGCTGATTAAAGGTTTTCATTATCGTTCCAGTTTTCATATCATACACACCTGTAAATGACTATTGGAGCTTAATGAACTCATCTTCACATTCCATGTTTTTAGTGTCCCAAACTGCTCTTGCTTCTTCATATAACAATATCTCCTCCTTTCTCTTTCTCTCTCTTTTGGCCTTTCCCCCAGGGTTTGTAAGTTTCGACAACCCAGGTAGTGCCCAAGCTGCCATCCAGTCAATGAATGGCTTCCAGATCGGCATGAAAAGACTCAAGGTGCAACTGAAGAGGCCAAAGGATGCCAACCGTCCCTACTAGCCCGCGCCCCAGCCAGCCACCGCCACCCTGGCGGCCGGGGCAGCTGTCGAACACAGGGAAAGACAGGTTAGGCATCAGTGTTGACTCCTTGAGGAACACCTGTTGTCAGTTTAGTTTCACAGGTGGTTTCTTGAGCGCATGCACAGCTATTGCAAATTATACTGGCAAACACTCACCAAACAAAACCAGGTGTTGACATTCCCACAATCCTCCCAGGACCATGACTACAACCCTAAATAAATAAATAAAAATAATGTAACCAATACATTGAATTGTATAAAATATAAAAATTGTATAAAGAGAGCCTATGAGATATTAAAGTTGAAACATTTTGTTTAAAAAAAATGTGCTCGTGTTGAATTTGATGCCAGCAACACACAAAAAACAGTTAGAAGCATGGTATGTTTACCACTGCATTGCATCACCTCTTCTTTTAACAGCACTGTAAGGGTTTGGGAACCAATGAGACCAAATGTTCACCTATAGAGAGCAAAATCTTCCCCAGTCTTCCTTGTTAAAGGATTTTCTGCCCAAGAATCCGCTGTCTTTTGTTTCATAAATTTTTGAAAAAAGAACTGACAGGTCTAGACTGTATACAGGTAGTTATAGCTGCTCTTAATATGAAGCAACGCTGTTGTAATACCCGCAGAATGGGGTTTAGTGAGGATGTAAACAAGGCCTTATCTCAAAAAGACAATTGAATGGCAGCATATGTTGCTTCAAAACCTCTTTGTCACGTTCACTACCACCAAGTCTCAGATGTTCAAGTTATCCATGTGATGTACAAAAGCATTTACAAACCTATACATCTGAGATGCTTTTACACTTCTACTATTTACCTCAGAGAATGCAGCATCCATGCAGGACAATTAGAGATTTTGATTCAGGACAATTCTTCTTCATGTTAAAAATGTTTTGTTTGTTTTTTATCTTTACATGATAGTCAAAACGTTTTTGGATGATGCACTGGTATACTTGTACAGTAGTAATGATTTCCACTACACAAAATGCTTTTAATGCAGAAGCATCAACATCAGTTTTCAGCTTTTTCAGTATCTTGTGATCCTCTGATTCAGCCTTGTTGAGAAACTCTTCGTTTTAATCCCCAATTGTGTTCACTGTTGTGCATGAAAGCACTCACTGAGCATGCTCATGTTTTCATTGAACAGTGAAATGATTAAATCGTTTTTCCTGCTAAAGAACAAGAGGAAATTTTGCAGCTGTTGTCTTACCCTTTATTGAAGATGACAATAATGATTATTTTTTTTGTTATCATTAGTCACATGCAGATATTTCCCAAGACAAGCTGAGAGTGAAACGTGACATTTCAGGGAATTTCAGCAGCGACTGCATTGTCTAAAACTCCTGCAGCTTTAACCTGCTGACAGCTGTGTTACAGTGCCTCACGTGCACCACACACACCTAACAACACTCTCGCCAGAGCGCCGTGTGTTCTCGGGCAAACAAGTGTCACTCACATCGCCTTCTTCGGCGGAAAACACTCTTAGCTCCGTGCATCATTCGCTGAAAACAAGAGTGCTGTGATGCACAGCGCTAACGGAAATGTCCCACACACACAGGGGGCAAAGCAGACTAGTTAAAACATATTGAGAATATAAGATGTTAAATGTAATTGTGAACCATAAGACGTGTCTATCTATACTGAAAGTGAAACCTTGTTTTGATGTCAGCTTCCAGGCTGGCCGAAAAAAGTAGCCTCCTCTATTTGCAGAACGACTTTACAGTAAATGACCCTGTATGTTACCTCGTAGGTAAAAGATAATTGGTAAATGGTTCAGCATGTTGCACAGGGAAGAAAGTGCTTCCAAGGGAGAGGCATTTATTACCCCTCAGGCAGGTAATTGTGCTGTTCCTCTTTGTCTCCTCCCTTCATCTGTGTGATGGAGAGTTTAGGCTGTGTCGTTCATTCACTACTGATGACTTCATTCAAGGGCAACTTATCACCCACTCACAAACTAACTGAACCATACCAGACAGTGTCCTGAGGCAAATCACTGCAGGTGGAAGAGCAATCTCATATGAATTTGTCATCAAATGTGTGCCGCCACTCCTTTTGATATGTAAAATGATTTTTTTTAACTGAATGTTGGAGAAAACATCTTCTGATTTCCTTTTTTTTTTCCCAGAGCATCATTACGCTCTCAACTGATTAGCAAGCTGCTTTTCGACTTGCATCACCAGCTTTACTATTGGTATTATCATCTAAAAAAATAAAAATAGAATAAAATAGAATAATAACACACTGTTGGCACAACAGCAAGCTAGAGTACTCTTATTTAACATCTAATGACACGGTAAGGTGTGTCTCGATTAGAATCCCTTCACCATTTCAAAAACAGGATTGAAGAGTTTGTTTTTTTTAATAGAAACGAAAAATTTGTTTCATCGCGTAGAAGATAACAACGGAGCTGCAGCCAGGAAGCCAGATTAATTCACTGCAGGATGAGCACTGATTTGTTTTGAAAATTGTCTCAGCAAAATGATCTTTGTTTATCCACACCAGGACTTAGAGTCTTAGTGCTGGCTAAGACGCTTTAGAGAGGCAGGTGTCCTGTTAAGTATTCTGCACCGCTCCATCTGCATGTAAATACAGCAAGAATCAACAGAGAAGGAACACACAACACTGGTGACGTCATTGCTTCCAAAGAAAAATTAATTTAAAAATCAAAGCAAATATCTCCCCGTCATTTTTCTTGTTTTCCGGTATAATGTAGAAATGTGTAATGAAAGTTCAACGGCAAGCGACCTAGCTGTCTCATTCAATTATCTAAATCAGATCCAAGCAAGTGCACAAATGAACCGCAAAGCTAGACACACCTTCAAACCCCACAGCTGCTGGTATCAAAGTGCAGTTTTCGTGGGATACTTCTAGGAACCTAAGCGATCTGCAGAAAAGCTCGAGCCAGTGGCTATCCTGTGGAAAAGTGCAAGCATCAATGCATCGAGGTGCAAAACGTGAAACCTTGTGTTGTTTCTCCACACATTCCTTTACTCAAACAGTCCCTTTTTCTTCTGTGCTTTTCAGGTTTTGTTGAGCTGTTGATTATTTGCTACCCACCACTGAGTGCAAACTCAACATCTGGACCACTGAGGCTGCTTCAGAAAACAGAGGAGAGAGAGAGAGAGCGATGACCGAGTCAAGGACACCTCCTTTTTGGATGTACTAAAACTTTGGAACTCAGAGTGAATTTGTACCAGCCTGGTTAGCCCCAGGACTTTTTTTTCCCCTCTTCTGCACACATATACACACTTCTTTCCCCACAAAACCCTGCTTGAATGACAGCTACCTTTTCTGGACCACAAAAACTTTTACTTGAACAAAGAAAGGAGGAGAAAAAAGTAAAAGAAACTACATCAAACCTCCTTACAATGACCAACCCCGCTGAACTCTTGAAAGGAATACGGATGTCAAAAGTCCAACAAGAACAAAACTTTGAAAAAAAAATATAAAAATAACAAAAAACAAACAACCACAAAAAAAAACCACAAACAAAAAACATAATAGCGGATTGCCGTAGGAGATCTTTCATTAAGATGGTGTGGAGCAATTGAGTTTTGAAGACCAATTTTTAAGATTTGAAACAAGAAGGGACAAATTCTCTGAGAGAGAACTTAAGTAGGAATGTGACATTTTCACGACACAGATTGGCTTCGATTTGGGATGGCCATCTTTAGCTCGGAGTGCCTGTCCGTTTCCAGGGGATACCGTTGCCGAGGAGCGCCATAGCAACAGTCTCCAGGGAGTCTTATCCATCATTCCTTAGTTGTTTTAGGGACCAAAAGACCAAACATTTTTATTGCTGAGGACTTGTAGCTCTAATATACTCGGACCACTGCATCTCTGTCAGCCAGCGTGGCTGGGGAGTTGCACTTAAAAGAAGTGTACATTACGAATATATACAACACATGTATATATACATATATATTGCTGATATGCTTTTTGAATACAGGCAAAACTATTTCAGATGACCAAATGGGGTCTCTCACTTCGCTAGTTTACAATTACTCAAAATGTTTATTTTTTTCTCTTCTCATTTTGTCTCGGGAGGGATGGCGAGTGCATGGGAGGGGCTGCTCTGTATCACAGCCTTATCTTTTTTAACTTGACATCCTAACCTCATAGATAGAATAACATCAGAAATGTTTGAAATATATGAACTTGTTTATATTTGCAGTACATATATATGTATAACAGGCATTCAAGCAAATGTATTCATATATACAGTATATATGGATAAATAGATATTAATCACAAATATATGTATTTATATGCACATATTTTATATATGTGTGTCTGTATATAGAACGGCTACTGACTATGTTGAGCTGTAATTTTTTTGTAGATTTTAGCTGGAGTTTGAAGCATTGCTCTGCTTGGGAAGAATTGCAAATCTGGCAGCTCCCAAAACTGCAGGCATTCCTTTCTCTGATTACCTATATGCTGACACACAATATATTGCTAAAAAGATTCATGTGTGATGAAACACATATGGTGTACATATTATCTGAAAATGCAAAAAGCCAATCTCAGTAGCAGGCTTTAAGAGAATCAGGCTAGATGATTTTAGAGGAAAAGGACAATTATCTTCGACTCTATTCCAAACATATCTTTTGAGCTTACACACACACACACACACGCACACATGCATACACACACAAACTTCTCTTTGAAACTTGAACCAAAATGAAAATGTCTCACAACCCTTGCTCTCTTTTGCATTCAGTAAAGTGCATGTAGCGTATGGGCTGTCACCATGTCAAGGTGTGCCTTGTCACCTGCAGAATCTGCCATCAAGCACTGTGCTCTCAGAAAACAAAGAAAAAAAACTGAACACACACACACTACTGCAAGTAGCCAGCGCGCTATTATGATGTCAAAACTACAGCCTGATCCATATCATTTTTTCAGCTGCGTAGAGAGCTTCAGTGCATGTCAAATATAACAAAAATTGTCCAAGCACTGTTGGTCCATCATTGTCTTTGGGGGGGG